GGGTGGGGGGGGGAAGAGACATTTCAACCTGAGTAAGCACCAATAATAATAATGATGATGATAATAACAATAGCAACAACGACAAGACAAAACTACCTTTGCTTCTAACAATAAAAGGGACTGGTAGGAAGCAAGAAAATAGCATTACGAAAGGCTGGACAAAGATACAGTGGCACTTTGGAGAGCCACGGCTGGACTTACACTCATGGACTGGGCCAATGTCATTGCACCTGGTATCCTGTCTCTGTAAGGGACCAGAAGCAGCTCAGACGTGCGTACAAGAAACAGGGCAAACTGACAGGCCATCTCACAAATGGGATGATAGTTTTCAGATAGGGGGGAAACCCACAAATGAAATAGCGGTCACTCCTCCTCTAAATTCTGAGCATGGATATGCTGCATTAATACAAGCACACCTGCAATGCAATACTAACTGAAAGCACACAAGTGCCAAGGGTCTCATCTCCTGTCCTTAACTGAAAGTCTGTTTTCTCTTCACCATCAGTCTTTTGTTCTCTTCTGGTCAGCTTAATCACGTATGGAGCTGTGTCCCAGTGGAAGTGCTACCTACGACTCAGAAGACACGTTTTGTTGATTCAGCTACATTAGCTCCTGTGCGTTGACTTCAGTTATAAAAGCACAGCCCATGCTCTGGATGCAAGAAAAGCTACAAGAACAGCCTCAGGTTTACAAGGGAAACGTTCCACTAAATGCATCCCTTGCTTACTAAACTGCTGCAGCGGGAGTGAAGTGTAATTCTGGAAATATGTTACACAACTCCTAGAAGTACAGGGTGAGTTTAAATACAGGAAGCAGTGGTTAAATATAGATGCATTGCACAAAGTATCTTCACCAAAAGACACTGCTATTCTAGCCACCAAACCACTGCTGGGCAAAACTCCTTGTACAGGAAAAGTTGGAAACGACAAAGTCTAAATTTTTTTTTTCCCCTTCATCATCAAAAGTGCATGCCATAGGAACTTCATTTTCTGCTTTCCAAGTTTCATTTCAAATGTGAAGTTTTAAACTGGCAGGAACAAGGAGCAGATTCAGACAACGACCTCCCAACTTCGCAACGCTTAAAAGTTGCAATTTCCCAAAACTCAGCTCACCAAATCCCTCTTCATTTCTCTAAGCCACTAAAACCCACAGCACGTACAGCTTCATTATGGCTTGCTTCTTTGTCTACATACACATTAAACATCCTCAGTATTCCATATTTTCAGTTTTTACGTTTCATGACGACTTTTTCCTAAGATTAGTCTAACACTTCCTTTTAAGTCATTCCAGTGTTTTGTTCTACCTTTCTATCCCATGGTGATTCACAGCACCTGCACTGTTGGGGTGAAAAAATACAACTCAGTGATTGTTAGAAGTTACGGTTTGATCTGGGTTGAAAATCTGAATGTTAACAGTCTGGTGAACTCATACAGCAAGAGCTGCCCAGCAAGTCAATCAATGACGCTGCATTACACCTGAATGCCTCTTTAGCTAATGCTCTCAGTCCCTTCCTTTCCGCCGCTCTGCTTTCGCTTCCCAGCTGATCTATACCCATCCTTCCTCAGACAGCTCCATCTAAAACATTGCCCTTACGAAGACGGTTACCCTTTGTGGCTCCCTGCTGAAGCATTCCAGCGCGCTGAGTTACTTCATCATCCAAATTCTTCCTTATTGACCGGCTACGCAGTTTATACAACAAAATCAACTTCCACAACTCTTTTGCTTGCAGGGCGCAAAACAAACAAACTAAGCTGGCCAACTTCTGCTTGCAGGACTGGGATATGAGAAACAACTGAGACACAAGGTGGACGTTCCGAGCGATGGTAACAAGAAGGATTCAGAATACATTCATTAGGAAGGATAACCATTCAGCCAGTTTTCCTCAGACAGGGGAAGACCAGCGCTTCCTTCTAAGTGGAACCCATCCATCTGCATCTACAAATGTCAAGATTATCAAGCCATAAAAGATTTTTATTAGTGGGGACAAAAGAGGTAAATTCAAGCTCTAAGGAAATTCAGGTTCTAAACTCTCAGTAAAGCTGGAGAATGCACCAGCAATACATGTATGTGGCTGAGGGGGGAGTCTAAACGAACATACAGGCTAGGAGAAGCCATTAGCTTTCCTGACCTGACTTGTCACAAGACTATTAAAACAGCAGAAAAAAAAAAATCTCTAGACAGACATGCAAAAGGGAAACAGTTTATATTTTGCCTCGTGTTAGACTTTCCAACAGAAAAGCAGCCGTGTTTTCAGCCCGCTGAGAAGCTCCACAGTTTACTGTGGAAAAATATAAAGTAAGTGCAGACGTGGATTACACTTGCTTGCTGACACAAAGCAAGGCTACTAGTCAATTTATAGTCATAGATTCGAGGCAACTCCTAATTTAAAAATTCCAGTTTTAAAACACTTCCCACTAAATCACAGCCTGCGAGGATCCTGTCCTCCCAAACAGGAGATTTGCCAACAGCCTGTCCAAGGGAGCAGTCAGTAACAGCGGTTATAAATGCAACACACAGATCTCTTCCCCATTTCTTAAAAACAGTTTGGGGGAATACACATGGCGCTTTACCACTACTGAAAATACAAAACACAGTTACAAAATTAGATACCTGAACGTAATCTCAGACAAAGTAAACTCTCCTCACAAAAACCTGCTTCTGAACAAAGCCATCCGGAAGGATGACACCACGTAGCTTCTTGGGTATATTACTCACCATATCTGTAGCTTGATCTTCTTTCCTTGTAATTCAACGGTTTTAATCTTGAAGTCTATCCCTAAAATAAACACATAAATAAGTAATTAGTATTTATTTACAAAAAAAAGCAATTCCACACCAATCAGAATTGCTGCAGACAGAACAGCAGCTTTTCTTCTTCTTTTACTGAATCGTCAGGTAAACCAAGGATGTCCAAGTAACCTGGAATGCAAGAGGAGCATGGCTACCAACACAAACAGGGCCCTCAAAGGGTCTGCAATTGGTCAACGGACACCTTCAGCTAACACTGTTAAGATGATATGGCTTGTAAAGGCTTTTAAGTTTCTTGCTTATTTTTAAGAACGAAAAATAGCATGTTTTTGCCATTTTTCTGGAGAACTTCCAAAAAGAAGAGATTTGGGAGTTTAGGTATAAATTTAAACATCCTGAACAAAATAGCAAGCTTTCTTCTTGTTTTTTTTAGTCTTTCCCCAAAAATGATTAAACCACAATATTTTGCATATGCTGAAAAATTATGTGAAATATTGTGGTGAATTTTTTTTTTTACGCTTATACCTAATCCTTGTGACACCACCATTTCAGAAACCTCTCAAAAAACCTGCCTCGCCCCCCAGGATTCTCCTTTCCATTAATCTTGTTCAAGTAACCTACCTGTAAGAATAACATCAACTACAGAAATCTGAATGCGTGTTACCTGTTTAACATCACTCAAAGCAGCCAGTGCGAGAGCCTACACCAGAGCGTGTGACAAGACTCCAGACTATTAAAAACAGTCATCTCGCTTTTTCCACTGCTGAAACAAGCAGCAGAAGCCCTAAATAGTCTCTTGAGCCAAACAGGCACACGCACGGTTTACAGACAGTCAACCTCAAGCTTCAATAATGTAAACAGAAGGGTTTAAGCAACACAAAGCTTTCAACCAGCAATAAAAGGCAAGTTGTCAGCATAAGTTGGCACCCAACCGCCACGTCTCTTCGCCCGGGTCCATCCCTGCTCCAGCCTCTGACGTGGTACAAGCAAAGTCACGACTTGACAGAAGCGTGTAACCACGACTCTCAAAACTCAGAGTAAGCAGAGACCATCTTGACAGAGCATGAGTAAGGTTTTTACTTTTAATACCAACTAATACAAAATAATTCACGTGTTAATTTGTGGCAAAGCTGAAATGGTATCGCAAGGAAGTTAGTTAATACGGGATTCACAAGGACTGACTGAAGAAGAGATGAAAGAGAGCTGTGCTGAGAAGACTTAGGAAAGAAGAAACTATCAAACTGAAGACAGATCCTTAGCCGAGACCAATACTGAAACCAGTATTTAATATTTTCATTATTAATTCTGGTGTAATAAATTGTCCTATCTGAAGTCTATCGCTTACAAAAGTGAGAGGCACTGTACAAAGGACGATTAAAATAAGAAACTGATAATCTCGAAGACAGAATAAAAACAAGGGATGGGTGTCAGCAGTACAAGATGCAACATTACATGCCTGCTACCTAAGAATTTCTTCTGTGAACCAGCAGCTGTTTTCACATGACAGAGGCGACAGACCGAAGGCTGAGAGATTACCATTTTACTTTCACGGAGTAACTATAATCCAATGGAGAGGCAAATCCAACCCTAGAATCGGCAAATACAGTCTTGCAAGCACCCGGTGAGAGATCTCCGTCCAAGGCAGGGAAATATGAACATCATTGTGCAAGACCTTGGTGAAACCTCATTTGTGCAACATGTACAAACTTATCACTCTTCCCCAGAAGAGATGGGCTCAGACGGAGGCAGATGCCATGCAAGACAAGCCAGGATGAGGAATCCCCCACCAGATCCTCCATAGCAGAAAAGGCTTGAGGACCACGTCTTGTTTCAACCTTCTCTTCCCCGAATTGCCTACAAGAATTATTAGCACAGACTACATCCAGTGGAGCAGGAACACTACAAGCCATCTTCTTCAAATGCTCTGACACTGATTAGAAGCCAGAGTTCTGACTTTCAATTCAAATCAGAGAAACACCGCCAACAAATCTTCTTGCTTTCCAAAAATCTGTTTGTATTTAGACTTTTTAAAAGGCAGCAGCTGCGATCACAAACTTCCCTCTTAAATCTACAAGGTCATTTTATACCAAGTAAGATTAAATAGAATTTATGAAACACACTATTATGTAAGAAGTCTACATGGGAAGTCTGCTTTAAACTCCACCAAGTCCAACTCCTTTTAGCTCTATATACAGCACACTACTTCATTTTAACATTGAAATACTAAATCAGTAACATCTTTTTACATAAAAATTCAGATATCAGAGCCTCTCTGGGAAAGGCTACACAATTTTAGATGGGGGGGGGGGGAGAATCCCCCCCCCACCAGGCCTGTGTCATGCAGGGGGAGGAACGGGGACGGCACTTGCTAGATGGACACCTACCATATATGCAGCCAAAAAGGAAAATGGAGAGTAACCCCTAAATGAGTACCAAATGCAGCTCCTCACAGAGCCTCTTATGGTTACAAAGTATTTCACAGACATGAACCAGAGTGTAAAGGGGCTAAATTCCCCATTTCTAAGGATTTAAAGCAGTACAGTGCCTAAAGGTCGAGGTTGTCCACTAATTCTAGGACGTCAGCTGGGGACCTTCAGACCTCCGTTTCAGGTCAGTGCTCCATTTTTTTTCCAGTTAGCCAAAGCAGTACTTCATCATTCACGTTAAGTTAAATTTGTGAATCAATATAGCTAGTATCATACGTATGTGGTTTGAAAAATAAACCCGCTGAACGACTAATAGCCAACATACAAAATTGCTCCAAATACACTTAACTATCCCCACATTTTGCAGCATTTAACTGTTTGCTACAACGTAGTGCTCCACAGCAACGCTATCGAACAAATGAACACAGCATTTGCCAAAAGATATAAATAAAAGTATTTTATACAGCGACACTTACTTTTAGGTTCTCCCCAGATAAAGCAGGATGTTTGACAGCCACTTTTTATGCGTTAAGATAAAGTAAGCTATTAACCCAGCCAAGGAAATTAACTCTTCTCTGCACCGAGAGGGACTTAGCTAACTCTAGTATTTGGGGAAAAAATAAATCTCTAATCCCATGTTATACTCAGCTTGCACTCCAATTACAATATAATACTAGTTCAGCCTTCGTAACAGAAAGATTGTTATAAATAGCAACGCCTATTTGCCTCTAAATACTTTCAAAGTAGTTTTAACAGACTGGAAAAACTAGACTTCTGCGTCGCTACAATGCCCGTTCAGTTCTAGGTCTTTCCAAAGAAGTCGCCAGTGACACTGTGCCGGCAGAAACACAAAGGCTTCAGAGAGAACAGATCACAGGTATGGGGAGTTTCCAGTAACATTAAGTTCAGGAAAGAGTTTAAGAGGGTAACGGGTATAAAAATTGAACGGCATGCAGAACGGACATATTACTATCACAGGAGGATAATGACAGAACTAATGAATTAAAGATGAGCATGAAATTACTCCCTTATTAAGTGTCGATAAGATATTCATCAACTTCAACAGGACAAACTGGAATTCACAGAAAAACCTGGAAGTATACTGCCAGCCTGTTAAACACTTGATATAACTCCATGCTTTCAAATGAAAATTTGGAAAGGTTTGTTACACTTCAGTATAGCTCGCACAGTTTAACAACGAAGTCTCCTTAAAGGCAGATCATCCCAGGTTTCTGGCTCACTTCTGGGTTTCCTTCCAATTTCAAGTCTTGTACCAGTTGCTAACAGCAACATATGGGCTCAGGCCTGACCAAAAACTGAACTCACGGCTTTAAAAAAAGACAGAAGCTATTTATGGATTCTTTAGGTTACTGGTCTTCGAGTATCAAGGCTTAAGAAGTACCATTAGTTGATCTCACGGTATGTGCAAACAAGATCTGCCCTTACACAAATATTGAAAGTCACTTCTGCCTAGTCACTGTACACACTCAGACCTCAGAAGCTGGAAGGTCAGACTTGTGCATCAGGCCACTGAAGTCAAGCTCTTCCGTCCCTACATCAGCAGAGGTTATTGTCAATGACTCCCCACAAAGCATTCCAGTTTTATTTGTCTAAGTTTAAATATCTGAATGTCTTGGTAAACACAGAACTATTTGCTCAACGGTTTTGAGTTTCCATTGCTCTCAGGCGAAAGACATTAACGAAGACCCAGGACTTGTGTCAGCACAACAGTGAGTTTTAAATCCGTAATCACTGCATCCAAACAGTTCTATATCACTTTACACCTTTCTCAAGCCCCTGCCAAGGTTCTGTAAAGATCACTCTTCCATTGCTAAATCACAAACCAACTCTTGAAAAGTGAAAGACAGAATGCCATCAGTACAAGAGGGAGGGAGAAAAAGTTATTTTCCAGTCCATTTCAGAGCTACAAATGATGAGCTAGCCCTTTTCAGACAGCACAAATTTTGTTTGCATTCTTTCCAAACAAAGACACCATTCAGCTCTGTGAGGACGCTGGGTGGAATGTAGGGCAAGAGAGGGGCAACGCTGCAGCGCTAGGAGCCTGACCGTCAACCTGCATGTCAAATCACCATCAAATGCAGACCATAAGCAGCATATAAATAAGCGCATTTTGTATTTCATTTGTTAGTAATTGCTTTGCAAGTATACTTGAACAGCACTATGTATTTTCAATTCGGGAACGAAAAGCAAATGTGCACAAATTCATACTCAAGTCTTGTGTCTTCAAGCTGCCCACCTTTGTGCTACAGGCTCTGGCAACAGCAAGTATTTTTCTTAACAGAAAACTACAGCTATCGACACCCAAATTATCACAGCAGAATTCAGGCCACATTCCAATTTTCTGATGAGCACAGGGAGCCATCTGGGTGGCCCCTTTCGCCTGCATCCCTCCCAGGCAGTAATCCTGAAGAAGGCAGAGGTTCGCAGCTCGAGCTACAGCACTTTCTCCGAGGGTTCGGAGGTGCACCTGAACATCCCCCACACAATCCACTTCAAACAACTAAAGCAAGGTGGAGCTCTTGCAAGTGCCTTAATAGCCACAAAAGGATAGAAATCTTATCTTTACTGCCTATCTTTTTAG